AAAGGAATGAGTGAGGATGTGATAACCTATGTGCAAACTTGTCTTGTTTGCCAAAGGAACAAACCTTCGCATGAGTACCCATTGGGACTGTTGAGACCACTACCCATCCCAAGTGAGTCAGGTGATTCCATCTCGATTGATTTTATGAGTCTCACAAAGAGTCGGAATGACAATAGTCAGGTAATGGTCATTGTGTATCGATTCTCTAAATATGCTATGTTCATTCCTCTACTTGTCGAAGCTAGAATGAAACTGGTCATCCAGAAGTTCCAGATGCGATGGGTTTCGGAATATGGATTTTCAAAAACCCATAATCTCTGATCGGGATGTATGGTTCACTGGTCAACAATGACAAAAGTTGATGGAGGTGTACGACACCCGATTGACCATGTCGTTAGGGAGACACCCTGAAACGTATGGACAAACTGAACAGATGAATCGTTTGTGCCAACAACTTTTGCGAATGTATGTACGGTCGGATGAGATAGATTGGGATGAGAACTTGCCTAAGATTGCAAGTGCGTCCAACAACAGTGTTTACATCGTCACCGGCAGAACACCGAACACACTTCACTAAGGATGAAAGTCGCGACGCCCCATTGATGCTTAGACCTGGGACCGAGTCCAACGGCTACCCCCAGGAACACGAGAATTTGCAGTTCTATACGAAGAAGAAATAAAGAAAGTCAAGGAAAATATTTAGAAATCCCAATTACAAATGATTGAACAGTCTATAACAAACATCGTCGACCATCTGAGTTCAAATAAGGAGATTTTGTTTGGGTAAAGTCTAAAAATATTTCCTTAGAAGAAAATGTAACACAAATGATAGGGAAGTCCTCAAGGTGATAGGGAATACTGATTGGACCCCCATAGATAATAGATGTACCCCCACACCTCAAGACATACCTTGTCTGTCACGCGTCTAAGTTACTGCCATATGTAGAAGGCCATGATTTTCCCAATAGGCCATCTATGTTTCCTCCTTCAATGGATGGTGGCGATGAAGTTGAGAAGATTCTTGAACATGGATATTTTTCTATAGGTGGCAGAGGAAGGCTACAGAAGCAGTTCAAGGTAAAGTTTAAGTCTCAACCCCCGTCTGAAGCCCGATGGTTTAGCAGGAAAGAGCTTTTACCTACTGCTCCTGATATTGTCGATGCATATGAGCGTGGATTAAAGGACAACGAAGTCTAAAGAATATCTCTGATGGAACTCCAAAATTGGGCCGACAGGAATGAAATAAGTCGCTTAAATATGACTAGGTCGTCGGCCAAAGGTTGCCACCTGCGGGCCGCAAACTGCCTCAAGGCCCTGCGTCCGACTGGGGTAAACAGAGCCACCAGGGTTGTGAGGCGGGGGCCCCCGAGGGCAAAGCCGGGGTAGGGGTTTGACCCCCGGACCCCCGCCGCGGGGGTGTCCCACCCCCG